TGAACCGCCGTCGGATCGCCCAGGCCGCGCTTGGCCTCACCGATCGTGAAGCCGAGGCTGCGAAGAAGGTCGAGGGTGCTGTCACGCCCTGCGACAATACGTTGTTCCAGGCGCGGAAACTGCTCGAGCATTTCCGGCAGCACTAGGCGACACAGCATCGAGAGTTCGCGGAGGGTGTTCGTCGAACGATGTGGCGGCCAGCATCCACAAATAGCCGATCTCGGGATTGTACAGATTGGGCGTGACGCCCCAGAGAGCGCTGGGCAGGCCGTCACTGAGGCGACGGGCCGACCATATTTGGGCGCTGAAGGCACAGGCCTCTAGCAGCCGACGGCTGGAATCCTTTTCTGGCCAGTCCAAGGAGGCGGGCGCATCTTCCAGTAGCATGGCGAGATGTGCGACATCTGCCGAGGTGGCTGGCTGGACCTGATGACGCATGTCCTTCTCCTCGGTTCGAGAGTCAACCCGCGAGACGCGGAGAGGTTGCCAAGCCTGACGGTTCGGTACGGAGTGCGCTGATGAAGGGCTCGCAACCTGAAACGTATTTCTTTGAACGCGACGATCGGACGCCCAATAATCCGGCGTTGCCGCTGCTCCTCTATCGCGACGTCGTCCCTGTCGGTACTTCGAGCGATGCGGCGCACAGGTTGGAGCGCCTATTTGCTGTAAATCGATGGAGCGATGGATGGCGTAACGGCATACATCCCTTCCTGCATTTCCACACATCGACTCATGAGGTGCTGGGCATTGCTGCTGGCCATGTCGTCGTACAGTTCGGTGGCGATGCAGGGCGTGCCCTGGAAGTCACGGCGGGTGACGTCGTCGTGCTTCCTGCGGGAGTCGGACATCAGCGGCTGCACGCAAGTCTCGACCTGCTGGTCGTGGGAGCGTACCCTCACAACGGCCGCTTCGATCAGAGGCGGCCAGGCGAGTTGGATGCCGAGACGGCGCGATATGCCGTAATGCAGGTGCCGCTGCCGGAAATGGATCCCGTCCATGGCGTGGACGGGCCATTGACGACGCTTTGGCGCTGACTACTTGATCCCGTAGCTTGTGAACTGACGCTCGACACCCGGCATCAAAGCCCGCGCGGCGGCCTTGTCGGTTTCGCCACTCTTCACGTCACCATTGGCGACGCGGACCAGGCCGCGTCCATAAAGCGCAAGAGG